TGAACGTGATGCTAGTCAAATTGAATTATATAGTGCCTTTTGTAACAATAAGCTTAAACAAATAGATTTTCCCCTAGAATTTAATTATTGTAATAGTAAAATCTGTGATAATACAAGACATAGAATAATAATTGATGACATGTATAAAAATATTATTAATGTACTTTCTGACGCTGCAAAGAATAGTTGTAAGACTGAATTTAATCAAAAAAGACGAAAATATATTATTGGATGGAACAAGCATGTTAGTGATGCTCATAGGGAGGCTCGGCTTGGTTTTCAATTATGGGTACAATATGGAAAACCTAGAGATGGGTTAATTTATCAAAAAATGAATGAGACAAGAAAAGTTTTTAAAAGAAAATTAAAATGGTGTCAGGATAATAAAGATCGCATTCGTATGGACATTATTGCATCTTATCATACTGATAAGAATTTCAGTAAGTTTTGGAAAGAAACCAACAAATTGAACTCTAGGCCGGGGTTGCCTGTGAGTGTTGCTGGTGCTAATGAGCCTAAGCACATAGCAGATTTATTTAAAAATAATTTTGGACTTGTATCGCTTTTAAACTGTCAGACTTGTGTGTGCGACACTGAGGTTCAATTACAACCAAATGAGACAGATATACAAATTATTTTTACTGCAAAACAGGTTACAGATGTTATTAAAAATATGGTTAGAGGTAAATCACCAGGACACGATGGCCTCAGTGTCGAACATCTGCGTTATGCTGGAGCCCACCTGCCTAGACTTCTGGCTATGCTTTTTTCTTTATGTATCAAACACTCATATATTCCAATTGAGATGATGAAAACTATTGTTGTGCCAGTAATTAAAAATAAAACAGGTGATGCCTCCGACATGGGCAATTATAGACCCATCTCCTTGGCTACTATAATAGCTAAAGTGCTGGACAGTTTGCTTGAGGCACATTTGAATAACCACCTGAACTTGCATGATGCCCAATTTGGTTTTAGACCAGGGCTATCTACTGAAAGTGCAATACTGTGTGTCAAGGAAACTGTCAAGTACTATACAGAGAGGAAAACACCCATATACGCTTGCTTTCTTGATCTCTCAAAAGCGTTCGATTTGGTGTCTTATGATGTTCTGTGGCGGAAGCTGATATGTGAGACCACTGTACCAAGGGAGATAATATTTCTTCTAAGATATTGGTACAGGAACCAAATAAATTATGTGAAATGGGCAGGGGTTCTTTCTGACGGGTATGGCTTAGACTGTGGGGTGAGGCAGGGGGGGATCACCTCTCCATTGCTCTTCAACCTGTATATGAACCGCCTTATAGTCGGGCTCAGTGGTACCAAGGTCGGTTGCCATATAGGTGGTGTCAGTGTCAACAATATAAGCTACGCTGATGACATGGTGCTACTGAGCCCTTCGATAAGGGGACTGAGAGTATTACTGAGTAAGTGTGAGTCTTATGCGGTGGCCCATGGACTCAGATATAATACTACCAAGAGTGAGATCATGGTTTTTAAAACGCGAGGAAAAGACCTTACTGTGATACCATCTGTACATCTCAATGGAAAGCCATTAAATAGGGTATCGCATTTCAAATATCTGGGTCACTGGCTCACTGAGAACTTATGTGACAATATGGACGTGGAGAGGGAAAGGAGGTCACTGGCAGTCCGATGTAACATGTTGGCTCGGAGATTTGCGCGAAGTACTTTAGAAGTGAAATTGACTTTATTTAAATCATACTGCCAATCATTCTACTCGTGCGGTCTCTGGGTTGACTATACGCAGAGGGCCTACAACGCTTTACGTGTACAGTACAACAGCGCGTTCCGGGTGCTGATGGGGCTGCCGCGTCGCAGTAGTGCTTCTGGCATATTCGCTGAGGCAAGGATCGATGGATTCCATGCCATTATCCGAAAGCGATGTGCCTCGCTACTGAGTCGGGTGCGCGCCAGCCCCAACAGCATCCTGTGCGTGTTGTCGGACAGGTGGGAGTCGCCTTTACTCCAACATTGGGTGGGCCTCCATATAAGAGATTAGGTAATTAAATTGAAATGTATTACTAACATAGATTAAGGAAAAATGTTACTAACAAAACAAAACTATGGACACTTTAGTCTGAAATAAAATTTTATTATTATTATTATTAATAAATCTAATGATTTCGGATCGGCGCGTGCTCGTTTCGTTTTTGTTTCTGTCCCGTCACTCCCGCAAACAAATCCGTTTCGTTTCGTTTTGTAGCAAACAGACCACACCGAAACCGAGCCGGTTAAGAAGTGGTACTCGGTAAAGAATCTATACAGATTCGGTATAAAAACTAAAGCGAAACGAGCACGCGCCAAGTCTGTTGTTATGAATAAGGCGCAATAATCAAAAAATGCACATAATATTAGTGCTGCTCATGGTCCGTATGCTCATACGGTATTTCTTGATAGATTTATTCCAAAGCGAATAAAAATCAGCGTGTGATCGGCACAACTCACAACTCGTAGGCTTCTTCGTAGGACAACGCGTTGATTTTTACTTGCTTTAGAGTAAAACTATCAAGCAATACCGTATGTGAGTAAAGACCATGCTTAGCAAGTAGTTTCGCACACACATATTTATTATGCCCCAGGCAGGCCAGGCAAAGACAACAGAGCGCCATTAGCCCACAGTTCATCTACACGCTCGCCGGTTTTTGCAGCTTCTGTTGTCATATACTTTTAGAATACTGTAAATTTCAGGCGTGTCTTGGCAAAATGGAGACTCCATCATATAACATTAAAAGAAGTTTTGAGTTACTTACAACAAAACAATTTGTTACCTATTACATAAAAATAGTGACTACATAAATATAGTTACTAGTAGACAAACTCGGTTTTGTTAAAATAGTTTTGTTGTTATAACAAAAACTGTTTTGTTATAAATAAATATGATTTTAATAATTGTTACACTTGTTCAGTAATTGTTCACAAAAAGATTGCTTTAGTATAGTATCACTATACTGTTATTTGCAACCGAAGTAGGTATTTAGTTATCTACAAAATAATTTTATGATGAGTTGTAGCTGTATATTATTATCTTACTTGCAAAAGTAAATTTCTGCTTTAAAACGTTGTACGTACTACTTATTACTATCATAACAAGTAAATACTGGGTGTTTAGTTTAATCATAATGCCTGGTTCCCAATTTATTTGCAAATACAAATTTTATAACTTACCTTATATATATGCACAGAACAATCTCTATAGAACGATTCAGAGGACATTTTGATTAGTTACATCACTTTTCAGTTATTCATAGCGGTTTTTGTGCTCACTAAATAATAACAAACTAGTTGTAGTTTGCCCAACTCTATGTAAACAATCACCTCAAGTGTGTTTAATTATAACAACAAATTGTTATGTTACAGATTATTGAAATCGAATTTGACAGCTTATAACAAAATGGTTTAGTAGTTCTTAACTAAACTCGATAAACTGAAATGGTAATATTAAATGTAATAGAACAGTTGGTGTATGAGTGTCTGAAATTCATTTATTAGTAAACAAAGCTTGGCTATTCATCGGCTAACTCAACTAGTTTTGTAAATTACTTTCGGCAGTGAAGGCGCAGGTTATTATCCTACTCCACATGATTTAAAATGAAAGTGGCGGGAATAGTATTTCTTCTTATACTAGGTGCACCATATTATCCTACCCCACCTGGTGTTAAGTGTAAGTGAAGTCCAGTCGCGAAGACAGATGATGCGCCAGAAGATGTCCGCTCCAACTACCCTCACAGTGCCAGCTTGATAAGAGTCCCCTACCCCTCGGATTTATGGAACACCAGTAGAAACACAAAACTCGAATGTACCTCCAACCATCCTCAATTCGCCAGTTGTTCCTAATTCTCTAACCAATGCTCAACAATAGGTACACAACACTCACATAAGGAAGTGGAATCAACCTAACCACCTGTATGGCTTTCATAAAAACTGTTTACTATTTTTCTTAAAATTTACAGATTTAACAACGTGCTTGCAACATCTTTATTTAATTGTGTTTATCCATATAACCCTGCACTTTTACGATGTACTCAGGTTGATATAAAGTTTTATACTGTATCAGCTGCAGATTCAATTTAGAAAATATATTGCCTGTTCTAGTTTCCATTTGAAAATAGGGTTAAAGGTGTTGTCGGAAGGTTATAAAACACTAGATTATGTTTAAGACTTGTTATTTCAGTAACTACCCTGTTTAGTATGATTGGGTTATAAATGTTGGGTATTCATGGTAAATAAAGTTCTAAATCGTGGTGTAAAATATCGAGATAGTAATATATATTTTTCTTTACGGTTTATTACAATTTATGAATTTTACAAGATATTTTGTTAAGATATTTATGAAATTCCTGAATCGCCACGGCAACACGCGTAATTTGTCATTTTGGTACGAAATGTGAAAATCAGTCTATATTTTGAACTAGCGACCGCTCGCGACTTCGCCCGCGGTAACTTAAGAATCTCAGAGGGACATATGTTAAAAAGTAATCTATGTCTCAATTCAGGTACTTTGTACCATAGATTTGCATGAAATTTAGTTGCATATAGTTTATAAACTATATGCATACTGTTGAAGTCTGTTTAGTAGTTTTTGCGTGGTTTTGTAACAAACATACAAACTTTCACATTACGTCGTTGTAAAACTATCATCTGCAATGTGCAAAAATAAAACTTAAACGTAACAGTTAATGTTTGACTATATTTATCTAGTTGATGCCAATAGCATATTTTTAGAAGCAACCTGCGTTCACCGTTATGATGCTAAAGATTCGCATAGAAGTCTTTGTATTCGAAAATCGGTTAGTGTATAATATAGTATCCTAGTCATAATGATGAAAATGTCGAAATCCCCTAAAAGTGCACATAGCAGACTTTGGTTTGACAACAACGATTGTAATATTAGTAGGATGCTTCATACTAATATCACTTTCCCTGATCTTTTCATAAAGTTTAATTAATAAAACAAGAAAATATACAAAAACAATTTATTTCTCTCATTTTTGCTGCATTAACATTAAGGTAGACATCAACAATTTGTTATTATTATATAGAAGAAAAGTAATGTATTGTGCGATTTCAAATATTCTTAAGAAAACTTGAGACAGTCTTATGTTATTATTATACACATATGGAACAATTAAAGTAAATGTATCATGATAGAGGTCTATTATAGTTTAAACATACAACAAAATTTTATTTTATCAAGAAGGTGTACTTATTAATTATAAATTAAATACTTTGATAAAAACAAGATTTATTTGAAAGGAGAAACTTTTCATAGATCTAAAAAATCAAGTTTGAAATATTGTTTGGGTTATTTTAAAGCTATTACAAAACATACAAAATTACTACTTAAACAACTGCATCATTATTTACGACCACGACTGGTAAAGACTACAATGTAGTCAAATTCCCTTCATTTAATCGTCAAACTTGACTCATCTCATAAATTACTTAGGTTTATATAATATTTGGCACACTTCTCATGCTTTATTAACTTCTCTAAAATGCATAATAAATATCGAAACTAATATGGAATAGTTTACAAAATTAGACCTGAATCTACTGGTCCACATACACTTAAATCTAGTGTTCGTCTATCTACCCGTCAAACAACTACGGATTTCTTACGTCTGTCATTACACACTTTTGATTACAATGATATCTTTGTTCCGGAGATAACTCCAAATGAACAACGTTCACTGCTTTGTCAAAAGTCACCTTCGGAAGTCATCGCGTCAATGTCACTTCTGTATCACTAGAACTTCTTGAGCTTTCTTTGATTACATCCAATTCTCTATTGGACAGCGAGGAGTTACGAGAAAATTTATGTGTACCGCTATATTCACTTTTTTCTTCACAGCTTTCACGAGCACTACCATTATAGTCTTTATTTTCATCAGAGTCATCTTCGACTATATCGTTCACTTCAACTTCTAATAAATTATCGTTATCTTTTAAGCCGTAACCGTTGAAGTTTCTTTCGTGGCTGAGACTTCGAATTCTGTCGAGATTATGTTCTAAGGTGTGCATATCATCAACCACACCAGGCGAATCATCAAATTTCCATTTGATGTTTGAATTAAAGTGTTCTACACCTGGATACATACCTATACTATTGCTTCTATGCCCGAAAACCGGACAGTTTCGGAACTCTCACAATTCCGGATGTCTCGCGTTACAAGTTTTATTGAAATTGCCCTCGTCCAAGCTTAAGTTGGAACGCGAGCGTCCACATTCGAGACCCGGACTGGGTCTGAACAGACAGAAGTCAGAGTTTTTCAGTCTGCATTGCCTTGAACACGATTCTATTTGGAAGGCAGAACGGTCGAGATGCCTATAATCTGTGGGTCCATAGCCATCAAAAAATCTCGATTCTTGCTTACATATACCACTTGGACAGCCTTTGAAAGACCCTGTACATCTGAGAGGGTCTCTATGACAAGTTTTTTGTATTGCATGTAGCGACGTGGATGATACTGTGCGTTCTAGAATTTCGCCCCAATATTTTTCACCGAGTCCATCAAATTCACCTTTGGAATGCATACCATCTGAAGTTACGGGAGACCCGCAGCAGCCGGTCGGTTTTTCGTAACTGTGAAATGATTTTGGTTTTCGACAGCACATCTGTAAGAAAAATTATAATTAAAAACTATTCAAGCTTATCATTATTTTTTTATATCGAAGTTTTCCTATATACTGTAAATTGTCTTCATTTTTTGTACCGATTTTTTAAACCGATTGTGGCAGTGATGTCTATACCGAGCCACAAATCGAACAAAATTTCAGTGTGCACTACTGAAAGCTTTCTCACATTATTGAACATGGAGAGATCACGCCATAAACGACCCTCTATATCGCCCAATGTTGAGGGGAGACGTTCTCAGATAAATCAGTGGCAGTGCCTTCGGCAATTAATATATTTATAAGTTTTTTCCTTGTTCATGTAATTTTTTACTATATAGACTTTTAGAGTAAGATCCCAGGCCAGTCAGACCTTACTTATTTTTTGATGGACAAAATATGGATAATTAAGTAGTATTAGTGTGTATAATTAACGATCAATATTTTATCCATTAGAAAATAAGTAAAGTCTGAATGGCCTGGGATTTTCGACTATTTATATAGTATAAAGTAAAAAAATAATTAACCATCCCAATAATTTATACCTGGACAATTATGAAATTGGGTAATGATTTTAACTTTTTGTATTGTCTGTTTTAGTGTTAGTTTGGCTAAATTTTGTATTCAATCACTTTTTTTGAGGGCAGTGAGAGTTGAACCCACTAACTTTCGCTCTTTACATGAATGCATATCCAAATATCGAAGTTATAACCACTAATTAAATATTTAATTTTGATAGTGAATAGGTAGTATAGAAAAAGTGCAGAGACAATTATAAAACAAATTCTTTCCCAGACTTAATAAACAAAATCTTATGTGAGCGGATCGGAGGAAACTAGTTACCTTTCACTAATGACAAGTTTTCCGAAAGATCTACAAAGGAACAAAGTACCTAGTTTGTAAATCTAGGTCAGATTTTGTAAATCTGTTTCCCAGCTTTCTCCGCTAAGCTCATTATTTTTAGCACTTGTTTTAACTTCATAGCTACGAGTTAAACGAAAGCCGTAATGAAGAAAATTGATGATGTCAATGATGATTTTATTTTAGTATTTACCTTAGTAACAAAGAGAAAGAATATAATCATATTATAATCATCGGGATTGCTACCATGTAGTCTCAAGTGGGACAGTATAACAAGGTGCACAATATAACATAAGTAATATCTCTGTATTATGCCATATGACGTCTGATGACACTGCTTGATATTGTGGCACGTGAAACGAATAAAACAAGCCAAGACAAACCATATACAAACATCCCACTGTACCCCTCGTAAGACTTGACCCTGTATGTTTTTGTTTTGTTAAGATTTAGTTCAAAATCTGGGTTCATGGTAGCAATCCCGTCAATTACTACAATATTGTGATCATGAAAGCTTAAACAATACATTTTAGCAAGTTGTACGTACATAATATTGTAGGAGTTCGTTGCTTATCCTCCTGAAGTGGCTGTTGAGAAGCCAATAAAGGAATGGATTCCAGAAACTGTTGCTTAGTGCTAGCCACGTTACGATGAAATCTAATGAAGGCGGCACCTACACACAAGCACACAAGTGAGACTTATCGTTACTGTGGTTTCAAAGTTAGTGTTAGTAGCATATTATGTTTCTTTTCCAACGACCTCCGTGGCTGAGTGGCTTGTACGCCGGGTTTCATGGTGTCGCCGACTCGAGAGGTCCTGGTTTCGAATCCCGGTGGGGGCAGATGTTTGTGTGATGGATACGAGCATTTGTACTCCAGTCATGGATGTTTAATATGTATTTCTATACAAATGTACTTATATATGTACAGTATATGTATCCTATCCGTTACCCTAGTATCCCATAACACAAAACTTGCATTGCTTTCTTTGGGGCTAGGCTAATTGGTGTGAGTTTTGAAATATTTATTTATTATTATTTTTTATTTTAACTAATTTGTAGACTGGCTTCAGAGACAAACCAGACTGCTATGCAAGTTACCAAATCAGGCGCAACTATTGCGGTGCTTTGCAACTGCTACAGAATTTCTTAATTGTGATTTATTTACCGCTAAACCTTTGGTTAGGGGTATGCAGAGAGAAAAGAGCGCCACAATGCACTGTCCTTTGAAACATTTCACTTTTTCTGCATTCATAACTATTTTCATAAGTCCGTCCAGCGGTTTTCACAGCTACTAACTTCACGTTTGCTTGGCAAGACATAATATCCTAATATGTATGTACCTTACACCCCGTACAAGCCGCTACAACTTCTTGTATGGTTGCTGGTGTGACCATGACTATGAAGCCGAGTGACATCGCCGCCATAGTTCGAGAAGTGCTTACACTGTGAGGCCTTACTGGAGCTTGTATCTGTTGCTATGAAAATTATGTAAAGTTCATTTTTGTTCATCTGTTAAAGGATAAATGTGAGAAGATTTTTGAAGTTATACTTCTTTAGGCGCGTTATGAAAAAATGATGAGAGTGAAATTTTAAGATGCGCGCGCATCACTGTAACACAAAAAATTAACATGCTGTTACTTTTGTGTTTACCGCACATTAAGAAAATCTACCAACAAAATAGAAATAGAATCTCTATTTAGTGGGTGCTAACGACTGCATTGTGAAGGCCTATCAAAAGTATTTATTAATCTGGAACAACGGAACCAAAGCGCGATTCAGGAGACTACAGCGCCATCTCTTGACCATTGGTGTAGTAGAACCAAAAACTACATCTTTATTTTTTGTAATAAAGTAACAGTTATAGGTATTCATATTTATAATATTTATCCACATGTTTCTAGTTTGTATATTCGGAATACGTGTTTGAGTTTCATACAAGTGCAAATCACATATGTTCTAATAAATTATATTCAGTAGCGATTTTAATTGAATATTTTGATTATTTATTTATTTTTTCAAATTAAAACTGAACTTTATTGACTGTGTCCTTTTCCAGACTTTTTATTAATTTATTGTAATTAATTATTTGCATGCAATTAAAAACTAATTTTAAACGATGCCAAAGAAGGATATTTTTTCTCACGCGCCTACATAAGTACACGCACCCATTTTTTTTAGTATCTAAATATCACATAATTATTTAAAATTGAAATAATTTTACTGATTGTTGCAATTGATAAGAAGATCTTTCTGAAACTCTGATATTAAATAAAAGAAGTACAAAATAGTAATTCAATGTCAATTAATAAGAGGAATAGAAATATGCTTTGACAATTTAAACACAGACAGACAGATGGATGGACGGAAAACAGAAGCTCAGTATAGAATTGCGTAGTCACACTTTGACTAAGGAACCCTAAATAAGCAAAAGCTTTTATATTAATTATCTTACCACAATATCGTGTTCTCCATGCGAAGTCTTAGCACATGTTACGGGCACACAGTTGGGTCTCATTGGCTCCAAGTCGCATTTGCTTCTGTTCTTACTTACGTGAAACCCTGATCCGTAACAATACATAAGTGCCATGGTAGTCGGAAAATAATAAGCGCAGCACGAAAGGATCCTGTAACAAAAGGAAAAAGTCTGACAACTCCGGTAGACGTTCCAAATTCAAGAAACCTTAGCCAGCTATAAATGAAAACATACCTATCAGCAGCATTAATAATCAGTCTTTGGTTGATGTAAAAATAAATCTAAAATTAAATCTATTATTGGAGAGGTAACCATTAACCTAATTTTTTGTTCTCCGAGCTCCACGGGGTAAAATAACTTTGCAGCTGGAAACTACACATATTTCACATCAGAAGGAGAACAACAAGTTTTTGAGCCTTATAAAAGATACAAGATAAAAAAACAAAGTCAATTTTGTACCTACCTGTAATATTGAAACATACCCGGTTTCTGAGAGTGTTCAGCGATAAAATTAACTAGCCGTCAAGTCTGATGTTAACTGGCAATGAAGTTGCTGAAAGCTTATCAACTAATAGCTGTGTCAGTTGACGGCATTTTGAGTCACTAATTTTTTTCGGTTACACAAACTCAAATTGATTGGGCACTGCTATTAAATTTACAAGCATGTTACTTGAATAATTATATGAAAAACCTTCAGAAACCCAGCGTATGAATATCAAAGTAAAGACAACACAAAAGGCTTCTAATATTTTCTCCAGAGTGTATATAGTATACATTTTTTATGCTTCTACCTGAAAGCGACTCTGCTATGAAAAACATCACACGCCATTAACCCCGTAGAGTTGAAGTAGTATCCCGACCTGGGCAGCACCATTATTGCGAAGAGAGATACTGACAAAATCCAAGTTATGCTTATTACTAGCACACAACCCTGAAACAATGAAATTATTTAAAATCACTGTCCTTAATGGTAGCAAAAAAATCAGTGGGTAGTATTTTTAAAGAAATATTGTTTTTTTTAATAAAGTGAGTCAAAGAAATCTAAAAAGTATAATGAAAATAGAAAAAAATGTGTTTTCATTTCACTAAGACGCTTGTTTATATTCAATATTTATGTCATGTATAATGAAAGTCAATTTAATCCTACGCAACGTATTATAATGAACACCGAAATGAAATTATGATGCCTTTTGTTCATAATGATATGAAGGATGCTTAATTTAACAACAATAAGCTGGCACAGCTTTTGTCTAAATCAGAATTGAAACCCGGTGCGAAACTTCTTAAGCGGCTCAGAGAGATTTATCCAGAAAGGTGTTATCAAAGTACGCAAAGCCGTCTTAGAACGCAACCTCGGATTAGTGAATTTTAAATTCTTAGAAGTGTGAATAAAACTTGAATGTTAAACATGCATGATGTTAAAAAAAGTAAAATAAAAGCCGCATTGAATCTTTCTTAAGCGTCTTTGGAGGGTTTATTTGACTTTTTTTAATGTATGCTATACGAACTATTAATTGTATGGTACAATATGAAGCATACCTTTTTACTTGAATGTTTATGGTAAGTATTTGGGTGAAGCAAATACAAATATCTGTCTATCGCCATACAGACTAATATCACCGCACTTTGTTGACTCACTGCTCCTCGTAATAGTGCCTGCACATAAAATCAATAATGTAAATAGTGAAAGTTCTATAACTCATTTTTTATCAACGACAGCGTCCAAATATTGTCTGCGCAAATTTTACTTTAGCCAGTTGCAAATAAGACCGAGAAAAAGGAGCTTTGAAGTTCCTTCGACGTTACAAAGGAAAGGAAATTGTCACAATGTTTCGGGAAATATGAATGCCCTTGGTCTACATAATAACAAAGGGGGACAACCTAAAAGCGAAATGCTAGTCAGCAAACGCGCGGCAGATGGCACAAGTAACAAAGCTGAAACTTTAACGGGCGTGGACTTTGTGCCCGGTCACTATATTCCATTAGCTGATGGGCATTAAGCAGCATTGCTGCGAAGTTTTTAGTGATTTTATTGTTCATGGATTGCCACGTCAGCGGATCGTCAACAATTACTGTTTTAAATCCCATATTGTTCCTCGCTTCAAAAGATCCCCATACAATGGAGGCCCCTTTCATAATTTCAAATTTCATCATAAGCCTGTCCTAATTTCGAAACTTTCAGAATTGGATTTTGTACTAGAGTTGCTAAATCATATTTTTATAAGAAAGCACTTTAGGCGATAATGAGTGAACCTAGCGAGTTTATCCATGATATCCGATTACCTTTTAACTTTGCATCTCCAATTGAAACTTTTTCCCGTGAAACAACTTTACTCATTTTCTCGCCGTCTCTTGTTTAAATAAAGTTTTGCACCGACTTCGCCACTTCGCCTACATCTAACTGGATTAAACAACTCTCGAGAAATTTTGATGAAAAATTAATTTAGCTATTTTCACCACTTTTGCCGGTGATTATATTATCGTTAGCCTTGTTTATTTTCAGTTTCAACGTTTAAGTTATCGGATAATACCAAAATGAATGTGACATTGAAACTTTTAGTGAAATAAACTTTTCACAAAAATCAGAAAACAATCACCTCTAACTTTTCTTTCTTTCTGGAAACTTATAAAATTGTAACTCTGTAACTTTTTAAGCATACATTTTACAACAGCAAAACTTCCGAGAAACCAGGTTAAGGTTTTTTCTTATCTTCTATGTCTCAAACGAACTCGGTGGTCTTTGTGGTCCCAGGTTCGATCTTCGTCTCATTATACAGAAAAAAAACTAAATTTTGCTGAGTATAAGAAGGTAGTGTTTTTAAATTAAACAAATTAAGCGCTTTGGTGCTTGTTTATACTATACACAACGTCATACTCAGACCGTAAGCGCTTTAGCAAAACACTCTGTAACCTAGTTCTATAAACAATTATTTAGCAACTCAGCAAGTGTACGCTTATACCAGTTTTTTTGTGCCCAAATTTCAGAAAATCATAATATCTTTTTTATGTTAAAAGGGTGGCAAACAAGCTTATGGCCCGCCTGATGGCAGGCGGCCACCATGGCCTACAGATAGACGCTTGCGATACAAAAAACTTCACTCACACCCCACCCCACTCACCCCCTGGGAGCGGAATAGTTTCAAAACTCCCACTCAAGAATAATTGCATAGTTTTAATCATTCTCAGTAATTTGCGTTGGAAATGTGTCACCGTACTCAGACCGTGAACGCATCAGCACATCAACTCCCGTATAATAATTTGAATCACTGAACGGTAAGCACTTAGCGCTTAACGTGAGGCACTTACCCCATGAAGCTTCTTATTTAAAAATGAACACTCTGTTTGATTGACTTGTTGGATAAGGTAAGAACGAAAGTTTTATTAACTGTGTGTGTATACTGTGACAACGCACATGCTTACGCCTGCTTGTAGGAAGAGACAATAATTTGATCTCTTTCTCAACTTAATCCGACCAGATTAACCTTTTTCGTTTCTCAAACCCTTTATCAATATCTGAATCCCCGTTGGTTTCATTTCTGGTAATGCAGCTTTAAATAAGATTTTCAATTTAATCTGCGAAGGTTTTACGCGCATAGCCTCTTCCGATGCTTCCAGACATACTCTGACTATGATATAAAGTATGTACGATTCATCATGAATAACGGGCTAGGGATGTTTATGCTCTTGTAGCCAAATTTCATTTTCTCCTCAGAATATGAAGCCTACGATAAGTAAATGTACCTACTTAATGGTATTAGCGAGCACAGCATTTACTCAACATACTAACTCGATGGAAAGGTAGTTCTATTCATGCGAGTAGGTATTATTTGTAGTGCTTTCAAGGTTTGAAAATATGAAATAACCTATTTGAAAACCATTTACTTGTCTATTCAGAATAATGTTATTACATATAAAAAATACTTGTATTATGTCGTAAAGGTTACCAAATATTTAGATTTTCTTTAGATGTTATCATTACTAGACTCGGTTTTCTCTCGGTAAAACCTTCACCCTTTACGTTAGACAGATCACGACCTCGATAAATTTCTTTTCAATAGTTTTCTTTATAGCTTACCTGTATCTGACAGAATATCTCGCCGTAGGGCCAACACTTGTAGAGGGCTGGCAGAAGCGCCACTGGAGCTATCAAGATTCCAGTGAATAAGTCGTTGAGAGCAAGCGACGTTAGGAGATATCTTGGCTACAAGGAATAAAGTTGAAAATTAAAAACACAAAACATTATAAGAAACTTCAATGTTCCAGAAGTAGGTGCTTGTTTCAAATATTTTTAATGATCTATTATTTATCAAAAAAACTAGGAATGGAATGGAACTTTGCGCTAGTAAGAAAGAGTATGTTTTATAATGAAATTAAAACGTCTCAGGTAAGTAATTAGAAAAAACTGGTCACGTGTCATGCCACGCGCAGTGTAGGGTTCAGTGGTTCCTAGTAGCCTAGTTAACACAATATATTTGAGTAGGAGCCTTTATTTTCTGTATCGGAAATTAGAAAAACCAACTAATATCGATCTATGTATCTCAACTGAAATTCTTAAATCAAAGTCAAACTGCGTTTCAAACTCAAAATAAATTCGACATATATTTTTTTTTAAATACGAATGATAGCAGTTGATTTTTTTGTGTCTCCCAGTCGGGGAGAGGTCCTCATAGATACCCTACAGCCAGCTGCAAGGTTATGGAACCCTAAAAATCATATCATTTATCCATAACGCGATAGTTTAGATCATGACGATTCATATTAAAGCTTTTGATGTGAAAAGCTGCGCGGTTCATTATCAAACACCAACAGGCTCGAGCAACAAATTAACATTGTTTGTTTAATGATCATTCAGAAAGAAGGCAGTTTGTAAAGATTTCGATTAGTTTCCTATTAACTCTTAGTTCGTAAATTTTATATATTTTATTAACCTTTAATTTTTTTTAAATTTAAAAGTATACGACTCAATATTTATTTGCACGAAAGTGAAGTGTGATATTATATTTTTAAAATGTTATATTATCTCTTAGCGAGTTAATAATAAATGAAATACTCTACAAGCTAAGTGTAACTCATACTAATATAATTGAAAAAATAAAAAAGATTTTATAAATATGAATGTATTACCTGATTATCGATATACTTGATGTACCTCCTGTTATTCAGCACGCAAATCAAAACTAGATTGCCAAACACGATTGCCATAGACAACGCGAATATGAAGAACGCTTTCAAAATATCCGAAGGTGCCGGGAACGTGGAAGGCCAGCCTCTGCCGTTGATCCAACACGAGCTGTTAGAAAGAGATGGCGCAACGAGCAGTGCGCCCTTGGTCGAGTCGAACATGCTCGGCGCCTGCGGCAGCGCGCGGGCCTCTTGAATAAGGCATTTAGATCATAGATTGTTCAGCTGTTTAGCTTCAGACTTGTCATCACACTTCAGCCGGCGGTGTTGGTTTTTGTCAACTGACATGCATCTCGTCTATTTAACATTTGAGCTATTGCGCCGTTCCTTCTGCTACTATGATTTGATCATCTACTAATGTTCATTGTTTCAATGCGTCTGTAACAAGAATAAGAGTTGAATTAAAACGTGCGTCTTTTCATCGTATTTTGTTTTTGGTATATTTAAACATTATCTTTTTGTTCTTATGGTTGTGATGAACTAAAATTTACGAAATTTCTGTACACCACAGTAAACATTTTCTGTCCAACTGCAGCGCTACCTCACGAATCCAGTCGTAATTGGTTAACGAACGAGGTAGGGAGAGATAGGTTTCTGAAAGTATTTCGTCTGCACGTACGTATTTAGAATTATTGAGGGTCGTTTGAATTCACAGTTAAAATTTCAATGGGGCTTGGATTGCTATTTGTAGAATTTAACGTCCGCCGGCCTCTAATCCTCTAATTGACATAAAAATTCTTGTAGCGTAGGAAAAGAAAGCAAGCAAGGACGGACAGACTACGGACGGAAATGATCTTAAGCCATGGATACTGAATCAATTTCACTTTCTCCGCTGTCAGGATTAACTTGACAAATGACCATGTCCTCAGTCAGACATCGCTTATATCTGCTATTTTTGTAAGTTCCGAGAAGTTAGAATTCTTTTGAAACGCTCTCCGTGAGTCGGCATTCGTTGGCGATGATTGATTTGGTGCGAATGATATTTTATAATTAGAAGCAGTTTTGGCTAAATGTCATTGTCTTTAATTTATCGTTTCAGTCGACCCCTTTATAATAATAGTATGATAACGTTAAGTGACAAAAAACTTACGATCATGAAAGGTTTTTTATTCCTGATTGGGTAGGCAAAGTGGTTGGTAAATATTACTTACTTAACACATACACAATATTGCAATTCATACATTAAATCTAAGACATTTTCTAGGAATATATCGGCGAATATATATATGAATCGGCGCTCTTCGCTATCCGATAAGTAAGGCAATGCCACTAGTCGAGACGAGTTGAATATGATTTTCCTGATTAAGCTCCAAAAATGGTTGAGTCCTAAAACTCGAAAATATGTCTTAAATATCATTCAAGTATTTTATATAAAGTAAAAGTATTTTACGTCTACATATATACATGTGTGGCCCGTGCACACATGTTTTTTACAAATAAGATTATTTAAGATATTTTATTTTATATATTTATTTTAGCTTTTAATTCCATCAAAAGTTTCCCAAATCAACTGATTTTGCTATCGTCTCAACTGTTTCGAGTATGTCAAAGTTTGTCCGCAGGAAATGTAAAATTGTGACCATTTTTGCATTTTGGTTTTATAAAAGAATAAAAATGACCTTTTGTGTGCAAATACAAATGTCCCTATTTTTGTTCGGAAATCAAAAGCTAAAAGGTTACGAGTGCCACAATAAAAGGACTTTCCTAATGTCTCTCAGTGACCCATAATTTTATTGTCCAAGATTAAGGAACCGAAACGCGGGGTGGCACATAAAAAACTTAACTTATTGAGGTCTCCCAAGAGTCACTCCTATAAATTTAACGCCGCATAGAGCTGAGTTCAGCTTAATATACTTTACCTAACCAAATGATTATGTTAAATTGATCCCACCAGCTAGTTCGTGTTGACTTTGTTTTGTGTTGATAGACAAAAGTCTGTCAGTCAAAGCTCTTTCCTTATTCACAAACGTCGGAAATGTTGCCGATTACTAAATTATACGCTTCATCGCTATCACCCGCTTGGGAGTTTCGAAGCGGGAGTATGAATTCGCAATCAATAGATTGTGAATAAGAGATTGTTAATATTATAGTTAGCGATTATCATATAGTCTGTATATGACGTCATGTTAATAGAACGTGATCATAGTTTATATGTTTATACGCGCGAACTTTGCTGATACAAATAAAATCAAATCACATCACGCAAAACGCAATTAGGACATTTATTCTATACTAGTGGCCCGCCCTCGCTTCGCTTCTGTCTAGAGCTGTAGTGTAGAATATAGGCTTGTAGTATACACAATGACTTTTTTCATATGATTATAAGCCTTGCATGAAAAATTAATTAACTGATAATAAAAAAAAAAATGCGTAGTTTAGGACCCGTTGTACGGAATACATCATTGTTCTACTGTTAAAAAAAGTGTGTCGCCCTTACCATTAGTCCATGCCCTTATTATTAAATGTTTCTAGTGACGCCGTGGTTTGTACACACCCATAACTTTTATCACTCATAATTATTGCATTAATAATCGTCGGATGTTTCTATAGTGATTCTGATCATAGAAATTAGTACATTTTGATTTGAGGTTTGATTTGAATAAAAACACGTGGCGCGCGGTTTTTGGTGGCGTTACGTTATAAGTCGGATTCGGCAGTACTGGTTTCATGAAAAGTTATGCAAAAACGGGTGAAAATATTCCATTTGTGAGCTTTCGTTGCTTGCACTGGGTAAATAGTTCAAGTTATCCAAAAATCAAGTATGACGGAATGGTTCCCCTTTAAAATTTCTATAAAAAAGTCTGCGACAGCTTATGTCCATCTTATCACTATAACCTTTTTCCTCAAATTAAAGCGGCTGAAACCGCAGGGGATCTCTAGTTATGATATTACTGCAATAGTTAGACATATGGTATTGTGAACTTTCTTGTAGATATTGATGTCCTCTATAAAACTTTAGTATACCACTTTGCTCTATTGTCAATGAATTCCGCAGCGTACGCGAGGTAAGGTTATTTTTTCCTAAAATTAGGTTACATTATCGAAGTTTCATACGGAACCCTAACTTTTTTGAAAATACTCTATATCCTAGGTTCATCGGGGATAATGTACGATTCTAAATGTGAAAGAATTTATCAAATCGGTCCAGTAGTTTCGGAGCCTATTCAATATAAACATACATACAAAGAAACAATCAAATCTTTCCTCTTTATCATATTAGTATAGACTAGTGGATGCTCGCGATTTCGTTGGCGTAGATTAATCCAATCAAATCTACTCAACACATGTTGCAGTGAACAAAGATCAAGCGACATATCGTAGAAACGTTACATCATATGAAATCGTATGTAGTCGTATGTGTGTAGGTACTCTTCGATTTTCCATACAAAATTTCATCACCCGTTTCCCGCATGAAGTTTTATATTCCTAGCAAGGAAGTAACATCTTTTCAACAGTTTTACTGTGGAATCATAACAATCGTAACAGATAGACGAAGTAACTGTTTAGTTATAATAATAAATTATTAGTATAAATAATACGAAATCTTGTGTTTGATCGCACTACCAAAATGTATAAGTGAAATATCTTCTTTTATATTTTATACAGAAACACTGATTCTTTCCAGATAATCTAAATCTAAAATATAATCTTATGAGAATTAGTAAATGAAAAACTTATGCATTTACTCACTATAAATAATAGAGATATTCGTAGAGCAGGTGAAATCTAATAATTTCTTTAACTGCAACAACGTGGCCCACAGGAACCCTTTAATAATTAATTTTAATCACGAGGTACAGCGAATACCTTATTTTTCAACCCTGTAATCCTTCTTGCAAAGAACATGAATAATTTTTTAATAAGTTTAAATAATCCTGTTTAAATAGTACTTCTTCGTGTATCAAGGCAAGCTTTCCGAGTAGGGACCACTTATATTGTCTTTACGAGCGACACCACCTGTGTCTGTTGTTTAAAAACATTTATTCTGTCGTGGTTCATTTAAATTTATAATCTTAACAGTGTCCGCATAAGGCGTACTATTTATACCACCTGTTAGCAGATTATTGTATGACAGATATACTGGTGTCGTGTAATTTTTTTAGGGTTTTGGACTTCAATCGGCAAAAATGGAACCCTTATAGGATGATTCGGTTGTCTGTCTGTCACAGTCGATTAGCCGGAATCTAGTGGGCTGATCAATTTGAAAGGCATATACAGTGGTCCAACTAGTGACGTCAACATTTTTTTTAGATTCCTCGCACCTGGGCGTATCATAAAATACCCCATGTATGTTCCGCGATTTTTCTTAGTTTTCGAGTTTTTTTGTGTATTTTTTAATGATTTCTGCCAGCGAGGTTTCAAAAATTCATATCTTTTTTCGTAGTAGGTATTTTGCAGTCTTTTTTTGTGACCTGTCTTGAATGTTGTTTTAATAAAAAAATAACTCAACTTCCTGCAATTACTTAAAATTACTCAAAAAAGACTTGAAAGTTGGATCTTTAGTTTTTAGAAGGATTTACTCAAACGATCAACTTCAATACAAAAATACAAGAAGGAGTTTCCATAGCTTCTGGCTAAAATCAAAAACTCCGCATGCTTTTAAACTACCAAAATTCATAAAAAAAATGTACTTAAATAATAATTTCAGTTTCACCACTAAGATATAAAAAGTGTGCAAGAATAAAGATCAAAATGGCTAGCTGGGAAATTACCTGTTTTTTGATACAAATAAAAACCACAAATTACAGAAAAAATACTATTTATTACAGTAAATTTTCAAAACTTCTTCCTCCAACTTGAATACACAATTGACAATGTCTTAAAAAGTTATATTTTCATTGTCTGAAGCTACTTGAATATTCTTTCTTTATTTTTCTTTCCGCTTCTGTAAGTTATTGTCTCAATTCTTGTTCGCATTTTAAATCTTAGTGGTGAAACCGAAATTATTGTAAAATTACACATGCTGAAGTTATTTTATAGGAATTTCAGTCAAATTTAATTTGAAATTACATTTTAAGTTAAATTTACCTTAACAATGATAAAAAGTAGATAAAAATTAAATATTTTTTAAACATTAATCATGTTTCAATGATTTTTAGCCTATCCGCCTTCAAAAGTCAATTACAACAAAAATAGGCTGATTAAGTACATTTTTTTTATGATTTTTGGTAGTTTAGAAGCATGCGGAGTTTTTAATTTTAGCGATAACCTATGGAAACTCCTTTGTACTTCTAAATTGAAGTTGAATGTTTGAGTAAATCCTACTAAAAACTAAAGTTCCAACTTTCAAGCCTTTTTTGAGTAACTTTAAGTAATTGCAGAAAGCTGTGTTATTTTTTTTATTAAAATAACATTCAAGACTATTATGTTACAAAAAA